AGCTAGAAAGCCCAAACAAGATGGCAGCCTTATCCATGCCAACTTCTTAGAAACCAAGTTTAATGACATATAAAAGCTGCTCATTTTCTTTAGAGATCGGCTTAATTTTTTTAAGTTACATTTGCTGTTGTATGACCGCTGTAAGTTGATGGGCTACATTATATACAAGGAAACTCCCCAAAACATTTACATGTCAATGAATCAACATAAGTAAATGTCCTAACATCTTGGTCAAGCGACCACAACTCTTTTACATTTGTAGCTTAGTCGGAAAGGCAGGCAGTTCTCAGGGCCTGGATGAAAGGGAATTGCAGCAGGACGGAGGGAGGAGCAGGAAAAGGCCCTCTCCCACCTGCAGCTGCTTTTTATAAGCCTCCTTGCCAGCCGACAGGCAATCCCAGTGCTTACAAGGATTGCCCCATGGGAGCCTTGCTGACAAAGACACAAATACATAGTTTATTCTTGATCCTGAAAAAAACAAAAGGAGAGCCTTCAGAGAAATAACGGGAGGGATCATATGTTCAGTTCAACACGCTGGAAAGACATTTTTCTGTCACAACTCTTCACAGAGATTTAAGGCGAGCAAGCCGCAGATTCCAAACTATAGGAGCAGCAGCAGCAGCAATTATTGCAATAAAAGGGTCAGTGTACCTGGGCCTTGGGTTTTTGTCAAGCAGAAAAATATAATTATACTCAGAAGTTCTCCAGCGCCAAAGACAGCAGCACATCTAACAATTTATGCTGTCCTAGGTCTTTTTTACATGTTTATCCAAAGGCACAATGGTATCGTAAGGGTTATCATCAAAGCCACTAAGTCCTGAAACTCTCCTACCAATCCCTAGAAACAATGTTCTGAAAAACAAAGATACCACACACACATACACACTCAAAAGTACTGAAAAAATTACAGGTGATAGATATTTTTAAACCTTCACTGTTCTTTCCCCTAGTCTAAATGCCATAAAATCCCAGTAGCTTAAACTGCTGTAAGAATTTAAAACCTATCATTCACCTCAAATCACAAGTTTTACTACACATTTTTCACCTCCTTTAAAAACGAAAACCCAGATTCAGCTTTTAGCAGAAGTGAGACTATTGCTTCACCATGATTAGATATAAGCAAAGGAAAACAAACAAACGAACTGGGGGCCTAATGTTGTCGACATTTGTTCCACACACAGTGCTTTACTCGGTACTCCTCAGCACTAGCACACATGGTAGTTTTTGCAAGATCGTGGCCTTGTTTTAGTATAACACAATCAAGATAATTTTTACAAGGTCAGAAAGTTGGAATAAGAGGAAACAAAATCCAGGGCAGTTGTGTCTGGAATCAATTAGGCTTATGTGATTTTCAGATGCTGCTTGTCTTTCTATTAAATAGTATTTCAATGTATACATACCATTAGTGTGTACCTAAAAGTATGCATTGCACACAATACGTTTCTCACTTTATTTAAACCCACCTAAACTAGGGACATCGGGAGGTCAAAAAAGGAGAAGAGGTGTTCATCCGCGAGCGTTGAAACGGTTTCACTTTGAGTTTACGGTTTAGTTATCTGCCGCCTCAATGACAAACTGCTCAGAAGGGCCAGATGCCCGGGCATGCCTGTGGCGTACTCTACCTGTCCAAAAAGCAAATTAAAACTGAAGGAGTTGTCCAGGCAAATACCGGCTATGCCCACTGTCAACTTTCAAGCACGTCTCTGGGTTTTAAGATTTAGAGCAATGAGAAAAGGCTATTTTATCTTTCTAAGATGAAACTTTACTGTCCGAGCATCATACTCAGTAGGGAATCATCCACAGAAGACTTTAATTAACGAAAAGTTGACTTTACGGGGAATTCCTGTTTTCTCTACATTGTTTTCTTCTCTAGACGAGGCCAGTCTAGTTCATACCAAAATTAAAGCCGCTATCAGTACGGAGGGCATGTGAAGGGACATACAATCCAGGTAGATTCTTGCTGCATTCACAATTAAAATACGTGACAGGAAAAATGTTTACTTGTTGCTAATGTTGTGAAAAAATTTACAGACATAAAAGTTCAATTGTCTAACCACTTAAAGATCAAAATATTTACCTTCACCGCTTTTCTAATTTTGCCAAGTACAAAAATAAAGTGAAAGAAAATATTTTTCCCTCACTGCAGTAACCTTTTAACGTAAGAAGTTGAAATTATTTTGGAGATAGCATCGTAAATAATAAAATGCAGTGAAAGAAGTTGAAAACCTCAGATTTCCTATTATTTTTCTACGCAGAATAGCTATATTGTGTCTTTACTGTAAATAGCCAGTCACAGAGCTGGCTAGGTACCACAACATACAGGTCAGCAATGCTTCAGCTGGGGCTGGGTCAGAGGAGGGACTCTGGGACGGGCTCCAGGCAGATTCGGCAGGGGGGAAGGTGGGGGGCGACAGGCTGGGCTGCCCTTGCAGTGACCACCAGAAACCCAGGCCCAGGGAATAATTTTACTGCTGAAGCCACCCCTCCCACAGCCCTCCCACATCTCCTCGCACACACGCAATAGCGCGGCTCCGCGCTCGGGTAGCAAGGGGAGAACGCTCACCGCCGGCGAGGCTGCGTGCACGAAGCGTTTGTTGAACAGGCAAATACAACGTTAAGGGAAGTCCCCCGGATGGTCTGAAGAAGTGGCCTGGCTTCAGTGTGCCAACAGCTGCCATGGTTACTGTAACGCCAGGGGATCGGATCCCATATGCAAAGCGCTGGCCTGACTTTGCGCCCCCTCCTCTCAGTTTGGGGGGGACTCCTCAGGCTTGTCAGCGCTCTTGCTCTAGGAGGACATCTCACCTTTTAAGGTTCAGCCGTCTTTGCTGGACTGGGCTTTGGGCGCGCTCCTTCGCGTCGCCCTTCCACCGCGAAGCGCAAGCAACGCGGCGCCTCCTGACGGGCTCGGTTTACGAGGCCCGAAAGGTTGGACCCGTTTCCTCAAGCC